CTTTCCATTTGCCAAATGGAGCCAATCATACTGTTCTCGTTTTTGGAATATTTCTGGGATACCTCAAAAACATTCTTAAGACACCTTGTATATACAGTACTGCATATTGAGATCATCCCACGGTTTTTCAATAATATTCGATTCTGGAGACTCCAAAATCTTAAACTTTCTTTAAGTATTTCATGGTTGATTTGAAAACATATTCTGAAGGGCTATTTTGCTGAAAAATCCCATATTCAACTGTCCTACACTATTCTAATTGTCACTGTAAAAGGAATTATCAAATTAGAGCAAGTTCAGAAGAGAGCTACAGCATCAATGGGTGGAAATAACACAAATAGATTCAGATTAGATTTAAAGAGGAATTTCTTGACAGAGCTAACAATCAACTTAAGAAGTTGCTTCATGAAATGTTATGTTCCTCTTTACTGAGATCTGCAAATAGAGGCTGGATATACAGGTAGTCCTCGAGGTACAAACAGGCCATTTAACTGTTTGAAGTTATGAATGCAACCCAAAATTGTATTTATAACAGGGATTCAAGGCAGTTTTGGTCAATTTTGGTCTGCAGTCATGTGACCTAGATTCAGTCACTTGTGAAGCTGTGGTCATTTTTAGTTCTGTGACTGCCCTTTGTCACCCGTTGTTACAACAGGCAATTTTCAAGGCCTATATATTGGTACATTCCTCCTGGCCTGTTTTTTTTCTCCTCATTGCTGCTAGTGGAGGACTAGAGTGGTAAACGTGTCTGTTTGCATTTATTTGCCCTGGAATCAATTGCAGAACTACTAGCCAGTATCTATAGAAACAGAAAGCAGATTTGGTATTATAAAATTGCTTTGCATTTACTGTAGTGTTCCCATGTAGTTTGAGATTGCTTGCAGAAAGATCCTTTGCATTTTACTGTACTGTTTGCTTTTGCTTTGGGGATTAGTGTGTACTATTGCAGACTGCTTGTAGAACAGATGAGGGATGGAACACATCTGGAAATTCACCTTCCCATCCCAATTTAAGTCTGGGTACCTGCCTGTAGGTGGTTCAGAAGTGGAGGGCCGCCAAAAACTGTTCCCTCAGAGAATCCAGCTAGGGAACCCTGCAAATTCTCTAGAGTTTCAGTTCACTTAACGATGGAAGAGGTCATTTAATGAACCAGAGCAACACCAAGGCTGATTATTGTTCATTTAACAACTGGTTGATTCACTTAATAAAAATGGTAAAAATGTTGTAAAAGTGAGTTCAGTTCATTTTATGAAGTTTTGACATGCAGCCCTAATGGGCAAGCTCCATTAGGGTTGTATCTTGAGGACTACCTATACAATATGTTAAATCCTTTAGCAGATACTAAACCAAGCAGGGTATTAGATTAGATGATTTACAATCCAATGATTGTAACAATTATGAGACACATCTGTTACATTACTGATATTCTCCAAATCTGTTCCATGATTTGATCCTGTTGAGTGGCATCCAGTTAAACTAAGGCTAACTGTCCTAAATTTTTAGTTTAGTATTTCCCTAAATATTAAACTGTATTCTATGATGTACTTTAGTCACTGTAACTATGTACACTAAGATTCATCTCATCCTGGGCACTCTCTTTTTTTTTTTTTTTGAATTATTACCATCTGGCAGACGGTACAGGATAATAAAAACAAGGACAAATAGGCTGAAAAACAGTTTCTATCCCAGTGGAGTAACTCTATTGAATTCTGCTGTATAGTGCAATATTAATGCAATATCAGGGGTTTTCAATTCAATGTATAGAATGTGAAGGATGTGTGTTTTCATAATGAAAAGGAATGGATTGGGGGAGGGAAGTCTTTAGAGTTCGAATTTAGAAGGTGCTCCAGATCTTGAACTGCATTGCTTGTTTTTCTGAAGAACACCTTTTTCTTCTTATTATTATTTTTTGTATTAAGCAGTATATTTAGAGGTGAAAAGCTACTTAGAACAAATAATTATTAGCATAAATACACAGCAGATTCCTACCCTGGCTGGTTTTTTTTTCTAGAACAGAAATGGGCTTGTTTAAATAAGAAGCATACTTATTTAAATATATAATTAATGTTTTGTTTATACACTGTTCAAAAAAATAAAGGGAACACAAAAATAAGACATCCTAGGTCTGAATGAATGAAATAGTCTTATTAAATACTTTGTTCATTACATAGTTGAATGTGCTGACAACAAAATCACACAAAAATTATCAATGGAAATCAAATTTAGCAACCCATGGAGGTCTGGATTTGGAGTTACACTCAAAATTAAAGTGGAAAAAAACACTACAGGCTGATCCAACTTTGATGTAATCTCCTTAAAACAAGTCAAAATGAGGCTCAGTAGTGTGTGTGGCCTCCACATGCCTATATGACCCCTACAACGCCTGGGCATGCTCCTGATGAGGTGGTGGATGGTCTCCTGAGGGATCTCCCACACCTGGACTAAAGCATCCCCCAACTTCTGGACAGTGTGGTGCAACGTGGCGTTAGTGGATGGAGCGAGACATGATGTCCCAGATGTGCTCAATTGGATTCAGGTCTGGGGAGCGGGCGGGCCAATCCATAGCATCAATGCCTTCATCTTGCAGGAACTGCTGACACACTCCAGCCACATGAGGTCTAGCATTGTCGTGCATTAGGAGGAACCCAGGGCCAACCACACCAGCATATGGTCTCACAAGGGGTCTGAGGATCTCATCTCGGTACCTAATGGCAGTCAGGCTACCTCTGGTGAGCGCATGGAGGGGTGTGCGGCCCCCTAAAGAAATGCCACCCCACACCATTACTGACCCACTGCCAAACCGGTCATGCTGGAGGATATTGCAGGCAGCAGAACGTTCTCCACGGCATCTCCAGACCCTTTCACGTCTGTCACATGTGCTCAGTGTGAACCTGCTTTCATCTGTGAAGAGCACAGGGCGCCAGTGGTGAATTTGCCAATCTTGGTGTTCTCTGGCAAATGCCAAACGTCCTGCATGGTGTTGGGCTGTAAGCACAACCCCCACCTTTGGATGTCGGGCCCTCATACCACCCTCATGGAGTCTGTTTCTGACTGTTTGAGCAGCCACATGCACATTTGTGGCCCACTGGAAGTCATTTTGCAGGGCTCTGGCAGCGCTCCTCCTGTCCCTCCTTGCACAAAGGCGGAGGTAGCGGTCCTGATGCTGGGTTGTTGCCCTCCTACGGCCTCCTCCACGTCTCCTGATGTACTGGCCTGTCTCCTGGTAGCGCCTCCATGCTCTGGACACTACGCTGACAGACACAGCAAACCTTCTTGCCACAGCTCGCATTGATGTGCCATCCTGGATAAGCTGTACTACCTGAGCCACTTGTGTGGGTTGTAGACTCCGTCTCATGCTACCACTAGAGTGAAAGCACCGCCAGCATTCAAAAGCGACCAAACCATCAGCCAGAAATCATAGGAACTGAGAAGTGGTCTGTGGTCACCACCTGCGGAACCACTCCTTTATTGGGGATGTCTTGCTAACTGCCTATGCTTTCCACCTGTTGTCTATTTCATTTGCACAACAGCATGTGAAATTGATTGTCAATCAGTGTAGTGGACAGTTTGATTTCACAGGTGTGATTGACTTGGAGTTACATTGTGTTTATTTAAGTGTTCCCTTTATTTTTTTGAGCAGTGTATTTTTAAAAGCACGAGAAGCTGTTTCTTCATGCCGTTAGAATGCTTACATACCTTTTAAAACAATATAATTAGGTTGTCAAACCTGGACTGCAAAAATTTGATGACTGCTAGATATCAGCAAGAAAATAAACTCTTTCCTGCTGTCTAATGTTTGTTTTTGCAGCTGAGATCCAACAGCTCTAAAATGAACACAACTTTCTTTTATCAATTAAATCTTGTTGATTTCATGTGGTAAATTGGCAATGGATTTTTACTTTAACAGTAATGGTAGTAGTTGTTGGATGTTTCTGAAGTAAATTGAGAAGTTTCCAAACTCTGCAGCCTATATTTCCATTAGTTAGATAAAGGAATGTCTTTAATGGGAAACTATTAACTTCAAAATCTTATAAGTCTTTAAAGGCTTCTTTTATGGAATTAGATATTTCTTCTATATTGAGCTACTGTCAAGTGAGTAGAATTTTTGTTTTCATTTGGTCCATTTTTTTTGCTTAGTAAGTTTTTTTCTATATATTATACCTCATTTAATTGAATCTAATCTTCAATCCTTTTTCCTGGAAATAGCTCATATTGATTTAAATTGATGGACACAGCAGAATAACAAATGAGGCAGAAAAAATGCACATGATCAAGTATTTGTGCCCTAAACATTTTTTGATACTATTACAGAATCTTAAGCTTTATTACTTAATGATTCTTCTGTTACAGGATTTATTTTCTAAGCTTATTGCATAGAAAATTAGTAGGTAATTTCTTGGTGTTTGTGATTCTACTAATCTGATAGCATATAATAAACAAAAAAATAAAATAAACAATACCAACTAAAAACAAGGGACAACCATTAATTAATAATTAGGGACTCAAATTTATTATATATCTGGATAGGATTCATCCATTCAGGTTTAAATATCGAAGGAAAGGCCCATATTTTCAATGATTTTCTAACGGCTACTAACTGCTGAACTGAAAATAGAAACATTTTTACATCTGGTTAATAATAAGGCATCATATTTTAAATCATTTGAATTTTCCCAAAAGGCAGTTCACAAATGAGTCATTGGGATAATTTATTTGGGATGAGACAAAATCATAGATAACTTGGTTTTCTAAAGCATGGTTACAAATAGTTCATACCCTAATCTAAAAAGAAAAGATATATGAACCTACATATACCACTTAAGCATCCAGTGATAAGGCCATAAACCTAATTATACCGTTTGAGGAAAATGCATCTCTATCCTAGATTCTTAGATCTAAAAGAATGCATGTCCTTGCTGTATATTTTTTTTCATTTTAAGATTGATGACTTTTGAAAAGTAATCTTACGGTTTCCATTTTTGTGTGGTTTTTTTTTATAGAAATGCTACAGTTTGTCAGCAATCAGGTTGGAGATTTTCCAGATTTATTTTCTGAACAGTTATATGGCACATTCCAGAGCAGCAATGCATGTACTGGAGACAGAATATCAGATACTTCACAGAAAGCCTACAGCCAGGGACAGTTACAGTCCTCTTCTCCTAGTGTAGCTTCTCCACCACAGCTTCAGTCTGTGCAAGTGAAGACGTCTCAGTCAGCGGGCACAATTCCTGCTCCACAACGAACTGCACCGCCTCTTCAACCTCGCCCCCAAGTTCAACCCCAACTTCAGCAACAGACAGTGATGATTACTCCAACTTTCAGCTCTGCTCCCCAGACCCGGATCATTCAGCAACCTGTAATATACCAAAATGCAGCCACAAGTTTTCAAGGTAACTCCCATGGTCTTCAAAGCAATAAAGAACACCGTTTTATAAAGCACTAGGGTAAAACAATTCTTACCTTAATCATCACAGATGAGAATAAAATCAGGCATGGTCACGTAATGACGCACTTAATGACACCATATCAACCGTAATTCCAGGTTCAATGATGGTCTTAAATCAAGGCCTGCCTGTAATCTTAATTCTTTAAGCAATAAGTGTTTGCTAATTGGTCAAAATAGATATTCTGTTTTCAAATTGTTTACAAGAAATACAGTACAATTAAAAAGCAGAGAAATACAATTAAACAGCACAATCAATGAAATATATAATGTTTAAAATATAAAACTTGAATAATAAAGTTATAAAAACTTGTGCTGGTAGACAAGTTTGTAATTAAAAATCAGGAATTATTATATCACTGATTAAGGCTGGATTGTCCTAATGTAATATTAAAACTGAATAGAAGATGTTTTTGGTGGAGTTTGCTTTTAGTTGTTAGATTATGATAATTTTTAAGGGGGGAAAAACTACAGCAATTACCTATATGTTTTTGTTGAAACACAGCCTATCACCAAAGATCAGAGGCTACAATCCTTATTGTGGAAGTCATAATTTCCCTTGAGCAGTTTTAAACTCTTCTTATTTTCTTTCTAGTGCTGCAGCCTCAGGTTCAAAGCTTGGTGACTTCCTCCCAAGTTCAACCAGTTGCCATTCAACAGCAGGTGCAGACCATGCAAGCTCAGAGGGTACTGACACAGAGTACTAGTGGCACCATCCAGACACTAACTCCAGCGACTGTCCAGGCAGTAGCTGCCCCTCAGGTTCAGCAGGTTCCAGTGAGTTCTTTTGGTATCTTAAGGGAGTAGTATATACAGTATTTGTATTCTGTTCCAAGGCAAGAAATAATGTTGCTAACATAATGTTTGGTTTCTAAGCAATGAAATCTCCAAAGCTCATAGGTCATTGATGGCTAAACGTAGGAAAAGAAAAAGTGATTACAATACTGGTATTGGAAAAAAAATTAGTAAAGAAATTTTTGAAAGAATGGATTAGAATTCCATGCTATTATTATTATAATTTCAGCAGTGGAGGTTTTGGTATTTTATAACAGCAATTTTGTTAATGGATGGGAGGAGCATGACAAAGAATACATTCCTTACTTCACTTCTAAAAGCTTTTATCGGGTGGAGATTATATGCTTTAAAGCTAATTTATTAATTAACAGAAATTATTGGATTGGTCGATGGAATGTCACAGTGAAAGTCATCTGTAACATATATGAAGTTAGTAGCTGTATAATCTGGGCCTCTGGTATATGTAGAAGGAAGCCTGGGAGAGAAGTATATTGAAACAGAAGTTATGGCTGTTTCTTGCAATGGACTCTATATTGTAACATAGGAACTAGTAATAACAACTTTTCATTTCTGTGTTTGTTTTCATTAAATGTTTACTGTCTTGCCTCCTTTCAGGTCCTAGTCCAGCCACAGATAATCAAGACAGATTCTCTTGTCTTAACGACATTGAAAACTGATGGCAATTCTGTTATGGCTGCTGTTCAGAATCCAGCCCTGGCAGCAATAACCACACCCATACAGACAACAGCTCTGCAGGTATCATAAGGCTCCACACTTATCTCCCAAATGGTTGCTTTCTTCCTTTTATTTATTAGGGTTCTTTCTCATCGAGATTCTTCAAACTACATGTGAGCATTATAGTACATATGGTATACAGTAATATCTTCTTGCAAAAAAAGGATATATTGAGCCTATATAATCACTCTTGTAGTTAAAAGGGGATATCTACAGTATATTTATGTGTATGTATTCTGCACATATACCTGTTTTCAATGTAATTCCTCGGAATATATCTGTAAATATTGGGAGGAGGGAATTATAGGGGCTAACAGTTATAAACTATTTAAAGGTCTCTTCTTGGTAACCAGTTTTTCTTTTCTTCTCTTATTTGTATCCTCTTTATGTGTTCAAATTTTGACTTAAGTTTTTTGTGTTGCCAAAGTACTATTTATCTTTTCATTTTCCATTTTCCCCCACACTGCAGTTATTTGCAATAGTGCTTTTAGCATATTTTTAGGACCTTCCATCCATCTCAAGATTATTTTTCTCTGCCAATAACATTAGGTTCTCCTCAGGAGTGGGATGCTACCGGTTCAGCCCGGTTCTATAGAACCTGCGAAGAACAGCTGACACTGAACCGGTTCGTTGTTTGGCCCACCCGCTTGCCTGGGATCTAGGCTGTCCTTTATTCCCTGTTTTTCCCTCCTCAGCTGCTTTGCGTGGCACAGCTGAGGTTGAAAAAACAGGAAACGAGGATTTCAAACGCTGCGCACCCAAGCTCAGCGCTTGTCAGCTGTCCAGGCAGCACAGCTGATGATTTCTTGCAAACGCTGTACACACGATTGTCCCCAGTTCAGAGAACCGACAAATCGCTCCACTGGCTGGCCCCGCCCGTCCCCACCCACTCACTCCTTACCTGGCATGCAAGACATCCAACTTGCCTGGTTTGGTAAACTGCTATTCCCCCCCCCCCCAGCCATCAGCTGTTCTACACTGCCAGGAGATTTAGATTAGCTAGAAAGCAGGAAATCCTTGGATTTCTTGCTTTCTAGCTAATCTAAAAGCAGAGCCAAACCTTCCTTAGGACTGAAGCTTTTCAGTGCAGACTCAGGTAGCCAATTGCTGATAGAGAGATCTCTAAGTTAATCTATGATTCTGTGAGCAATTCAGTCTGCCTGCCTGCTTTGGGGTAAAAGTTGCTCTTTTTTAATAAAAAAATCAATATTTACATACACGGTGTGTTGTGAGTTAATTTTGCTAGCAAATTTTATGAGCTTGCTTGCAAGCAAATTTTATGTGACAGACTCAGATAGCCGATTGCAGATAGATAGATCTCTAAGTAAATCTGTGATTCTCTGCGCAATTCAATCTGCCTGCCTGCCTGCTTTTCCTGCTTTTGGTTAAAAGTTGTTCTTTTTTAATAAAAAAAAATCAATATTTACATAAATATTTATAATATTTACATACAAGCCATGCCCACCCAGTCACATGTCCACCAAGCCACACCCACAAATTAGGCCACATCCACAGAACTGGTTGTTAAGAAATTTGAATCCCACCCCTGGTTCTCCTGCCATATAATCTTGTTTATTGCCACTCTAAATTTATTAAAAGATGCTTTTGGGGAATCCACAATATGTAGCTGATTACTGATAAAATAAAGACATATATTGTTTACACATTCATTTTACCCCAGTGAACCTGATAGTTTCATTTTATTAAGTTTTATGCAGTGATGTAAAGTCAAAGATAGTCATCTTTTCCATTGTCATTGGAGAAACTGTCAGCAAATGTAGTCATGCATATCAGAGTTTCTCTTTCCAGTAGACATCAGAGAAATTAGTCCTAATGTCCCTTTTAAAGATGTAAAGTTTGCTTCTGGAATCACACCATCTCCATGGTTGAATAAGTATAATAGACATCAACATCAGTACTGCTTAGACTTCATATCTTGACTTAATGCGATGACTTTCCATTACAATTCTTAGCATGAAAGGATCCTTTTAATATTTAGTACATGTTTTTCTTTTTTATTTCTTCCATTCCTTTGCATCTTTGATTGCTATTTTCCCATCAACCAGTTTGGTCTAGTGCAGGGGTGTCAAACTTGCATCGTCATGGTGTTGTCATATGATGTATCGCAACTTTCCCCCCCACTTCGCTAATTCATGTATGAGCGTGGCCAGGGCATAATACCTCTGGGCCGTGTGACAGCCCTGGTCTAGTAGTTAAGGCACTGGACTAAAAAGCAAAAGGCTGTAAGTTCAAGTCCTAGTTTGGCCAAGCTGGGTGACCTTGGCCAAGTCACTCTCTTTTGACCCAACTCACCTCCTATTTTAGGAGAAGGAAAATAATGTTGGATATGTTCGCTGCCTTGAGTTATACAAATAACAAAGGTGGGATATAAATAAATAAAATAAAAAATAAATAAAAAAATCATGGTTTCAGTTACAACTTCAAAGAGTTTGAATTTAAAAATGACCAATTTTAAGAAAGTGCTCTGAGACATAACCAATAAAAAAACCCTTTTTGCAACAATAGACTATTTCCCCTAAGCCTAGCACTTAATTCTGATTTCCCTTTTCGGCCATGCCAATGTCTCTTACCCCATAAACCTATTATATTACTGTATAGTATAATCTGATATTATATCTTCTTGAATTTCCTTTATTTTCTTATTCTTGTTTTTATCCATTAATGATGTATTTTATTCTGTATAGTTTAAATTTCTTTTTTATCTTTCTGATAATAGTTTTGTTTTGACATGGTCTATAAAAAGACATATTCTTTACAGCTTGAAAAATATGCACATTTCAACAAAAAGCTGTTTAACTTACAAAACAGGTGAGAACCTGTTCAGGAGCCTTTGTGGCACAGTGGTTAGAGTGCAGTACTGCAAGCTACTTCTGCAGCCAGCTGCCTATAATTTGGCAGTTCAAATCCCACCAGGCTCAAGGTTGACTCAGCCTCCATCCTTCCGAGGTGGGTAAAATGAGGACTCAAATTGTTGGGGGCAATATGCTGAGTCTGTAAACTGCTTAGAGAGGGCTATAAAGCAATATAAAGCGGTATATAAGTCTAAGTGCTATTGCTATATTCTGAAAGCATTTTATTTTCCCAGTATGCAAGAATCTATAAGGAAATTTACATACCTTAGAAGAGTTTTTTAGATTAGGTGTCTTTCTTAATTTTATCTCATAATCCAGCTTTTTTTGCTCAAAGTTCTGTCTTTGCAGTTGGAAGCCACTGATCATGACTGTCATGAGAAAATGCAGTGCCATTGTCACTATGTCTAAATAGTGGCATTGTTAGTCCACTGGGATCCAGAAATATTTCTGAATTCTTACGAACATAGGAGAGTGCATTGTTTATAATTGTCACTGGTTTATCTAGTTTGTTTTGGGTTTTGTAGTAAATAAGAATTGTTCTTGGTTTTTAGTGATGGGTGTTTTCCAAACTTTTTACCCAGATTCTTGATATAGAGAATATGAAATCTTATTCATATAGAACAAAAGTATTAGTGAATTGTAAGCCATTCTTTTGTTTCCTACTTGTTTTATAAAATGTGGAATTTTATTTTGGTCACATATTTTTATTAACTTTTATTAAAGAATTATTTTCTTGAACAATACAAATTTTAAAACGGAAAGGAAAATAGAAATAAAGAAAAGTAAAAGTGATAAGTAAATAAGGAAGGAAGGAAGGAAGAAAAGAAAGAAAGAAAGAGAGAAAATAAAAAGAACTGATAGAACAGTGGCTTCCAATCTTCTTTGCAGCACTTATAAGCAGGGTGGGATCCGACCGGTGTAACTACTGGTTCGGTGATTTTACGTTTTGCTGCGAGCGCGTGTATATCATTGTCAGCTAGCTGCCTGGACAGCTGAGGAGTGCTGTGCGCGGGTGCGCAGCCGTTGGAAAAGCAGGAAAAAAGTGCTTTTTCAACCGCAGATGTGTCACGCGACACATCTGCAGTTGAAAAAGCAGAAAATAAAGGTCAGGTAAGAGTCTGCGCGGGCGGGTGGGCCAAAACAGCAGCAGACATAGAACCGGCTCTATGTATGCTCTCTTTCTGCTGCTCTTCAGAGCTACCGGTTCTACAGAAGTGGACAGAACCGGTAGAATCCCACCGCTGCTTATAAGTGCATTTTTAGTCTATCTTCATTAAGATTACATTGTGGCTCCCTTCTTTCCATATTCTATTCTTTCTAATCATCAAATGTTTATTTTTTCTATTTTCATACCCATAAAGAGTTTTTATTCACTAACAAAAGTTATTGTCTTTTTTCTAATCAAACAAGTCAATTTTGCCATTTTAGCAAATTTTGTCATCTTCACCAACTATTCTTTTACTGTGGGTATTTCAGAGTTTTTCCATTTTTCTTATATATAATAATCCTACTGCAGTTACCATGTACAAATACCGTAAGTATTTTCTAATTGTCTGTTGGTTCATAAATGAAAATTCTGGTTTCAGTTGAATATTAAATTTTTTGTATTGCTATATGCATTTGAATCCAAAATTTACTAGCTTTTTTCAAGTCCGCCAAGCATGATAAAACAACCCTTCATAGTTTCCACATTTCCAACATAGATTTGAAATACCTTTATAAATTCTAGATAGTTTTTCTAGTATCATATACAGTAATATATCATTTTATAAAAATTCTCTTTTTATAAACGTGAATTTCAGTCCTTTCATCCACATGCTTTCTCTTTGTTACATCTGTATGTTATAAGCAGTGCCCATTTTATCATATGCTGTTTAACATGTTTTCATTTCAAATTTTGATAAAAGCTTATACATTTTAGCAATGACCGTACCTATTCATCATTTGCCCATAATTCAGTTTCAAATTCTGTCTTACATTGTTCAATTCCAAATATGCTATTGTTTACTCTAAATCGTTTTCTCAACTGTACATATAAAAACCATGTCACAGATCTTACATGAAAAATTAATTGCTATTTGATTTCTGCTGTTGACTTTTTAGACCTTGGTTGGTGGCAATGGGGCCATCTTGACAACTATGCCTATGATGATGGGAGGGCAGGAGAAGATGCCCATTAAACAAGTGCCTAATAACACTAAGCAGCCAGAACCACCAAAGGAAGGAGAAAGGCGAACAACTCATAATATTATTGAGAAGAGATATCGATCATCTATAAATGACAAGATCATAGAACTGAAAGATCTGGTCATGGGAACAGATGCTAAAGTAAGAATTGCTTAGTTGAAAAAACAAAAATATTTGCAATAGCTACAAATCTATTTGTCATGTTTGCAGTTGACATGCTATTTAATGTTCTTGTTGATGTCCTTTTCCATTGAATTAAATCTCTAAATAACAACAACAACAGTTTTTGGGATGGACTCAATAGATGGTTAAAAATGCCAAATCCAGTCTGAATATTTTGCTGATTGTATGACCGACTATAATTTCATCCTGCCCTTTTTACATATCATTCAAAGCAGTAAACATATCTAATAGCTCTACTTCCTACTTTCCCTATAACAACTTCTTTGAGGTGGATTGGTCTGAAAGACAATGACTTGTCCAAAGTCACCCAAACAGTTTTCATGTTTAAGGGAGGCCTAGAACTTATATGCTCTTGGCTTCTGGGACAGCACCTTAACCACTATACCAAACTGGTTCTCTAAATCTAAATCCCCTATTAATTTATTTATAAAATTTGTAGGCTGCCCATCTTTATCTCAAGGTAACTCAACATGCATCCTACATACATACACAAATTTAAGAAAAAACTTTACTGCTAAATGAAAATGTGCTAAGAGGTCATAAGATAGCTGAATAAATAATCATGCATTCTTTTCAGATGCACAAGTCTGGTGTACTGAGGAAGGCTATCGACTACATTAAATATCTACAGCAGGTTAACCATAAATTGCGACAGGAGAACATGATCCTTAAGCTGTCTAGCCAGAAAAACAGTTAAGTGTTTTAAATATTACATTCCATTGTTTTAATTTTAAGTGAAGCAGGTACTATCAAGGTTTTTAATTAAATGATTTCATGCCCCCTTGCATTGATGAATGCATTGATTATGCTTTTAGGGGATAGATGTAGAACTGATAAGCAGGGGATTTAATTACATCATGTACTATGAATGGAATAATTTATTTGTGCGATCTTTTCTCACAGAGTTGTTGAAGGGTTTTGACTTAAGCAGTCTAGTGGACACTGATGTGGATATGAAGATGGATGAATTCAATCAAAATGCTCTATTGATGTCTCCTCCAGCTTCTGACTCAGGGTCACCAGCAGGCTTTTCCCCTTATTCAATTGATTCAGAACCAGGAAGTCCATTATTGGATGATGCAAAGGTAGATAATATTCGTAAAGCAATCTGCACTGGGAAGCATAGACAAGTTCTCATTGGTGTTACATGCATGCTGCTTCAGATGGAGATATGTCATCTGCTTCCCTTTAAAATCAAATAATAAATTATGATTTTTAAAAGGAAGGTGAGATTCAAAACACTAATTGATTTTTTTTAAAAAAAATCACAATAAACAACTAAAATCAGACACACAAATAAAGGAATATCATAAAATGTTTGTGACATATTACGTTGACTTTTCTAGATCACTGATCAATAATGAGCAATGGCATTTTTTTCACCAACTGAATCCTCTAGACCAGGGGTCGCCAACATTTTGGATCTCAGGGACTACCAAACTCATAATTTTAGATCCCAGGGATTACTAACTGGTTCTGTGGGCGTGGCCTAATTTGTGGGTGTGGCTTGGTGGTCATGTGACTGGCTGGGCATGGCTTGTATGTAAATATTATAAATATTTATATAAATATTGATTTTTTTATAAAAAAAGAGCCCAAAGCAGGCAGGCAGATTGAGTTGCTCACAGAATCACAGATTCATTCAGAAATCTATCTATCTGCCATTGCCTAGCTCAGTCTGTCACATAAAATTTGCCTTCAAGCAAACTCGTAAAATTAACTCACAACACACCATGTATTTATTGAATTTTTTTATAAAAAAGCAACTTTTATCCAAAATCAGGCAAAGCAGGCAGATTGAGTTGCTCACAGAATCATTCAGTGATCTATCTATCTGCCACTGGCTAGCTCAGTCTCTCAAATTTGCTTGCTGCGAATCTGCACTGAATTTGCTTGTAAGAAAACCTTCAGTCCTAAGGGAGATTCGGCTGTGCTCAGCTAGAAAGCAAGAAATTCAACCATTTCCTGCTTCCTAGCTAATCTAAATCTCCTGGCACAGCAGAACAGATAATGGTTGGAAAAAAGATAAAATAGCAACTTAGACAAGTTTACTGGGTAAGGAGTAAGTGAGCGGGGAGGGTTCCCGCAGGCCATGTGGGCTGAGCAGCCTTGTGTTTCTGCGCAGCCTGGATTAATTGCTTTGGGGGGGGGGTGCTCTGGGGGGTGAGATTTCTCTGTGGCCCACCAAAATTTTCTCACGGCCCACCAGTGGGCCACGGCCTTCTCATTATGAGAAATCTTGTACCAAACTCCATTAAAAGTCCAATAACATTTGGGACAATATTTTGCTTTATATCAAAGAAATCATAAAGCCCAATAAACCAGAACATTCAAAGGGGTACAGCCTTTCACAATATCAGTGTATCATGCTAGTTGCCAAAATGTTGGAGATACACCATCACTGCATTGAACAGGATGTTAGGGGCAAGTTTGAGATAAGATAAAATAAACAAAGGCATCTGCAAGAGAAATGGTATACGGGTAATTTCAGACTGAAACTTCAAATTGAACTGGCCTGGGGTGAATGGATAGATTACAATAAAAATGAGGTTTTTCAAATTTATTTTGATGAACGTAGGGTAACAGACAGGCATTGTACTTGAATGTAATAAGGACTACTTGTACTTGCATGTACGATGTACTGTATCATTAGTTCATAGATTAGTTTATACATTGCTCCATGATCTTCAGAAGCATATTTAGATATATCAAAGATCAATCTCATTATAACATTGGAAATAAAAGGAGATTTTAGTAAATTGTAAATGTTTAAATTATTTAAGTCTTTTAAATTCACCACTTGGAGAAAAGTATGAATAGATCTACAGGCTTGCTTTTATTTCCAATTCAGTGGCCTTCGGGGGGGTTTTGTAATGGTGAAACATTTTTATAAAACAGTAATCTGAGAAGAATAAATCTGCTATAAAGAAAATATTGAAAATTCAGCCTTGTGTAATGTAGAGCAACTATTTGTCTTAAATGTTTCAGAACTAACTCTTCCATACTGAATCTTCCACATTCTTGACTTAGGTTAAAGATGAACCTGATTCTCCACCTGTTGCTCTTGGAATGGTTGATCGCTCACGGATACTGCTTTGTGCTCTCACATTCCTCTGTCTCTCCTTTAACCCTTTAACATCTTTTTTGGATGGCAAAGAAACATCGGACACTTACAGCACAGTGCATCATGGTTCTGAGAGGAATATACAAGCAATAAAATCAGGTATATTTACAATAGTGCTCATTTGATATCTTTCAAGTTTTTTAAAGACAAGTACAGTAACTAAATGATGAAAGGGGAAGAAAACAATCTGTTAGGTATATGTTCTGGAATATTCTGTTTTAAAAGGTGATTAGAGTTTTATTGTGATAATTTATAAATAATTGGATTAGATAGTACTATCCATATTCTTATTTCTCTGACTCAGATAATGGATACTTATGTACAAAGGGATTGTGAGCTTTTGAGATATATGTTCCTTTAATGAATTGAAATTTTACCTGTATGGAATATATATTTTACCTGTGCATTTGTGAAGATTTTGTTGTTGTTTCTGTGTGTTGTGTGGCTTTCAGGTTTTTAAATTGTAGCATGTTGTATTTGTTATGTGGGGTGGATTGAATCATGTTAGGTTTATATTTTTAAAAAGCTTTTGTGATTTATGTAAGTTGGGTAGTTTTTTCTAAATGTTTCTATCTTATGTAAAATGATATTTTCTTGCATATATTAGGGCAGGAGTTTTGCATGGGAACAGTACTATTTCTGAGAAGAATAAATAGGATGAGAAGAAAGCAAGTCGATTAAGCTTAGCACAATCTTTATATAATCAAGGTTCTCCCAAGAATGATTATCTTAAAATGTGAAATGTTACTTCTTGTCTGATTTATGTCTTTTGACATGATGGATTCTGTTAGAATCAGGAGGCTGGTTTGGCTGGATGATGCCCACTTTGGTCTTGTGGCTTGTGAACGGTGTCATTATCTTGAGTGTATTCATAAAACTGTTGGTGCATGGAGAGCCAGTGACACGACTGCATTCCCGTTCCTCTGTGACTTTTTGGCGGCATCGGAAACAGGCAGACCTGGACTTAGCTAAGGTGAGGCAGTTTGTTGCTTTGAGGGTAAATATTATTGTGCTCATTTATTTGTATTGAATTAATTGAAATTTGCATAACCTAAAGTGAATATTTTAAAATGTAGAACAAGTCTCTTGAACTACTAAACATTTAGGCTTACATCTTATTCTATTATCAAAATTCTTGAACTGTGGGTTCTTAAAGCGCCTCCCCTTGGCAGAGCCCATGCAGACCATTTTTGGATTAAACTCCACTTCTGTTCTATAGCCTATAGGTAGGTAATTTGCTATAGGGGGAATAAGGTTGAACTCTTATTGAAATTAAAGGTGAGGAAAAAAATGTAAATTTTTGAGTGGAACAATGTCTTCTGTATCTAAATGCTGATTTTAATTAGAAAGAGTAAATTATTTCTTTCCCATTATGTAGTTGAATATTTGTTTAACTGGACTGAGACTTGAAGTTTAACTGAACTGGACATGAAATCCAAGAGGATTTCAAGATAATACAGATCCAGATTTTTGGTGTTTCTGATATGTCATGGTTCAAGTAAGTTGATACAGATGAGAAAGAGAGAAAATTGAGGGAAAAGCCTATGGTATATTGAAACATGATGGCAATTTAGCTAGTTTATCAATAGCTGAGGAGACAAATGTTGGTTTACTTGACTGTCCAAAATCTGAGTGACAAATGAGGTTGTCAAAAAGAATTAAGAAAGCTTAAAAATAAGTGAAGATGGAAAATAAAATTTAAATCTTCCAAGATGACTCAGAATAGTTGAAAATTAGGAAATGATGAGACTTTCAAATGTCTACTGTTCAACTTTATCCTGTGTTTTTCTTCTTTTGTTTGCAGGGGGACTTTGCTGCTGCAGCATCAAATTTGCAGATCTGTCTTTCTGCCCTGGGCCGAGCGTTGCCTACTTCTCGTTTTGACTTGATCTGTAGCCTTTCCTGGAACATTATTCGTTATAGTCTCCAAAAATTGGGATTAGTACGTTGGCTACTAAAGAGGACATCACAGCAGAGACGAGCAACTGAGACGCTTCTTGGCTTTGAAGATGAAGCCAAGACTAGTGCACGAGATGCAGCATTAGTGTATCATAAACTTCATCAACTCCATATTACAGGTAGATGAAAAAAAAATTAATGTAGTGGTTTAAAAGGTAAAGATTCCCCCAGGTTAAGTTTGCTTCCTGATGGCTGCCTATTTTATGTAGTTTTCTTTGCAAAATAAAGAAAGCTTTGCTTTTTAATGAATTTTACGTCTTAGAATCTCTAGAGTGCTCCTTATTTTTGATAATGCAAGATTTTGCACAACAGGGTATTGTGTGATACTGTGATGTATGAATGGTACTAATTTTCAGTAGCTAAAAGAAGTTTTTCAGATGAAACCATGCAGTGCATCACTTGTACAAGGTGATTCACAACAGGGTACAAATGATTTTTTTTTTAAATTTCTGGTGCAGGTAAGCTTCCATCCAGTTCAGCTTACTCAGGATTGCACATGGCATTGTGCGCTGTAAACCTGGCAGAATGTGCAGAGGAGAAGATTTCACCAAGTACCCTGGCAGAGATTCATCTAACTGCTGCAGTTGGCCTGAAGACTCGCTGTGGTGGCAAGCTGGGCTTCCTGGCGGTGCGTGGATTGTTTTGAACCACTTAGCAAAATAGGCAGTCTTCACTTAACAACAGTAATTGGGACCAGAATTTCCACTAGTAAACAATGCAGTTGTAAAGTGCAATGTCACAGTACTGCATCGTTTAGTGAAGGCAATCTCATCAGTCTCCATTTCTGTTGTTAAGTGAGGACCTCACATGACTGATGTGGGAAGAGGCAGGAATCCAGAAGTGCTTATTTATGCTACTGAAACTGCATCCCAGGCAAATGGATGGGTGGGCATTAAGAAGTACATGCATGTGGGTGGATGCCATGTGTGGGCCCTGTGGAGTATGGGCAGGCATGTGCTGTGGGTGGATGCTCTGAAGGGTGTGGTCCATGAGAAGTTCTACAGAGTATGGGTGTAAATTCAAGTGGCTCCCAAGCGAGAAATATCTGTAATTAGGTTAAATACTGTGGCATATTTAAATTATCGTTCTGGATTTGCATCTAAAATAAATGAAAGTGACCTGTGTTGGTACATTAAAAATATCATCCATAGATTGCTAACTTTCAGTCAAATGTTGCATGTTTTCTTCTCAGAGTTATTTCTTAAGTCAAGCTCAAAGCTTGTGTACTTCTGAGCATAGTGACATCCCTGACTCCTTACGCTGGTTGTGCCATCCTTTGGGGCAGAAATTTTTTGTGGAACGGAGCTGGACAGTGAAAGCTGCTGCTAAGGATAGTCTGTACTCCACTCAGAGGAACCCAGGTGAAGATCAGTAGCTAGAGAAGATATTTTCTTTAAGCCTGTTACCAGTACATTGAACAATCCTTCTGTGTATGCATTTTCTTTGTCCTGCTAGCTTTATTCATGCTATGGTTTAAAAACTTAATGTTAAAAGAACATATGAAAACAATCAAGAGGACAGTTTTCCATAAATTGGCATTCTTTCTGCAATACAGTTTTCTATCTAAAAACAAAAAAAGAAAGACTTACACTTCTGAAGTATTTATTGTTGGACTTGTGAATAAAGTAGTAAACTGATTGTTTTGCCTCCGCATATATAGCTGATCCCATTGCACAGGTACACCAGGCATTCTGTGAGAATCTATTGGAGAGAGCTGTTGAATCCATTGTGAAGCCTCAGATTCCCAAAGGGGCTACAAGCCATGATGATGAAGCACCCTGGTGAGCCCCATTTGTGTCCTGTTGACAGTTTTTTGGGGAACATTGACGATTTCTCTTTGTCTCTTCTAATAAAACCTATAGTTCAACACTGGAGGAAGAATGGCAATATATATTTCAGCTGCCCAGTTTCAAGCAACATGATACAGGACACACCTATATGAGTACTGCTTTTGTCATAATACATCACTTAGATTGTATCCATCCACAGTATTAATTGGATATATGATAAAGTACAGTTTCTCTAAACAGTGTGTACAAATTGCAAAAAATAGATTAGCATAAAAAGTATATAAAGTAGCCTGTACTATGATTGATAGTAAGAAGTTTTTTTAATCATTTGCTATCATTCTCATCTATTGATTGACCAAATTATTGGGATTGAAGCCCAACATTATTTAACTTTACCATCTTGGTTACGCTTATCATTGAAATGTTCATGGCAAGATTCATCATTATCTCTGTTGGGAGAAAGCCATACCAAAAAAATATCACAATGGTGAACATTGGTTGCCTTTCAGAATGTGAATGTAATACCTTCTTTGTACAGAGGGTCATCCTTAAAAAAAAGTGTGTTAAAATACAACTGTACTTCGTTACGATTCATTGTAAAAGTATGATACATTATCCTAAAAGTCTGACTTTATACTGTTGTTTGCAGTGAATTCGCTAATGCTTTGGAATACTTGACATTACTAAGTTCTTTTGTGGATTCTTTGGGAAGTGGGATACCACCTTTTTCTGGAAATTCTGTGCTGAAGTCTGCTCTAGGTATGTGTGAAAGATACAGGACTTGTTCAATGGTTTTCATGCTCAACTTCTCTCTCTTCATCTTTCTTTTCTCTCTCGTCCTGAATGTATCTGCACTTATTCAGTGTTCAGATGCTATTTTTCTTGTGTTAAATCTTTTTATTCAATTTTGCTTTTTTTATCCACTGTTCAATTTCAAAATTTATCAGAGATTTATACTACATATCACTAATAATACATTGCCTCCCTGAAATGTAGTTAACAACTAAACACTACAAAAGAAAAAGGTAGAAAGAAGGAAAGAAAGCAAACTCAGCACTAGTTTACAACATTATGACAATAATTTAATACTGTTACTGTATTTAAAAACAAAGCTGATGGATCTACTTCATTATTTCAGCCATGCTGCTAGGTGATAATTGATAGACTAGCTTGATGGAAATGATTTTTCTGTAGAGATATTAGTGCCTCTGTTTTTATCTCAATAATAA